CTCCCAAATTAGAGTGCATAGGAGGAAACAATAAATGATCATAAAAATATTTAGTCTTTAACCTTTTATCAGCAATGGAGAAATTTGATTATGAAGCTCTTATTTTTGCCCCTTTCCCTTAGGGCTTGTTTGGATTGAGGGGAATGAGGGTGAAGGGAAGTTAGGGGAACCATTCACCTCCATTCACCTTGTTTGGGAACACTTAGGAGGTGAAGTTAATTCACCCTAGTTCTCCTTGGTTCACCCCCCACTTAGGAGGTGAAGTTAATTCACCCTAGTTCTCCTTGGTTCACCCCCTAATAGTATAAAAATTGTTAACCCCCAAATTGGGGTGTAACCAAGGGGAAGGGAACTCCCTTCTCTTCCCTTTCCTTCCCTTCACTCAGTTTTCCTTAACTTCCCTTCACCCCCTACAAATCCAAACAGGCCCTTAGTTAGAACTCTCAAACCTGATGAGATGACTCGCCCTCCATTTTTCTCATTAAACTTCCAAATAAAATATATATTTTCTCCCTTCTTCTCCATCATCCATTTCCGTGGTTAATTTTGTTTCCCTTTTCCACGTAAACTCTCAAACAACTTATTTTGTGGAAACAAAAGGACAGATTATCTCCATAATTTTAAGTTGAATGTTTTTTGCCACATAAGCATACCTGACGACAAATTGGGGACAAGATAACTTTTTACACTCACACCTAAATCCCCCGGGAGTGACCATAACTTCAGGTGACCGTACCGCGCTCAGCACGTGCGAAGGAGGTGACTTTTCTTTTCAACTGAAAAAAAAAGCCGACGCTTCCACACCGAAAAAAGACAAAAGAATTCAATGTACAAGACTCACATCTGTAGCTTCGCCTCGCCATCACCTAATGCTGGTCCGGTTCGATTTGTTTTCTTCTCCCGAGAAAAACCGAAATAATGAACCGGGTCAGACCCCGACGTGGCATTTCCGTAAATAACTTGGAATTTGCTGGGCTGAACCGTAGTCACTGCTCAGAGGTAATCATGCCGAGATATGAAAAAAATGCGAAGTGGGACCCATGCAACACCGCCACGTAAGACAAACGTAATTGACCCGCCGGCACGGCCCCCCCGCCCGTGCACGCCGCGAACATAATCAATGGTTAATGAGGATCTATGCTGCGGTGCTTTTGCTTATTAGTTCCTTCACAGTTTTATATTTCTTGGTAGCTGCAGAAAAGGTTATATAATTACAAGAAAGTATATGGTAATTATAAACATGCTTTACGAACTAACCTAGTTAGCCAATACACTATATAATTGGACGTGAAGTTCTGTGGCTTTTTTTGCAGGAACAAATTTGAAATTTAGTATAACCTCTTAAACTACACAGAAGCCACTATGATGGATAATTTATAACCTTCAAGGGCATGCTTAATATGAAATTATAAACATTTAACATAACTTTAAACTTTTGTTGTGGTAGGTATTAAAATTTTCCTAATAATATATTGAAATATTATTTAATTAAGGGTTTTTCTATAGAGTGTCCATGGGCATTCTATAAGAGAGAAGAGAGATAGAGAGAGATGATTAGGGAGGGGATCCCAATGCAAATCAGTTGGGCCCACTCCTCAATCATCTCTCTCTATCTCTCTCCTCTTCTATAGAGTGCCCACGGACACTCTATAGAAAAACCCTATAATTTAACTTTCTAAAACGCTCAGTTAGTGCCTTTTGCAGGGGATAAAATTTATGACCAGACAATTTTATGTCCCTTTCTTTAATAAAAATCATTAATGGGATTCTACACTTTCAATGTATTAAAATATTTTTCAATATATTATAACTTTATCAGTGAGGCTGGGTTAACTGTTATAATTTCATATCATAACCTATTTTTTCCCTTTCAAATTAAATAGGATCAACTAATAAGATTGTGAGATGATTTTTTTTTTATTGTGTGCTGATCTAATCGACACAAAACAAAAATACGTTAAAAGACGTTCATCGTGATTTACATATCACATAATTTATGCATAAAAGTTTATAAATCTTAGAATTTTTTTTTACTGTTTTGCATAATAGGTGGCTCTTAAGCTGCTCATAAAATTAGATTCACTACTTCTTAGAAGACTAGCAAAATGAGCTGCCTTATCATGTGTATCCTAGGTTAAAAGATGACTATGCATGTATGCGTAATGAGAAACGTATGTATGTGTGCATGTTTACCACATTATAAGTGCGAACTAAGAAATGTGTATGTGTGCATGCATGTATGTATATGTGTATATTGCATATAAGTTGTCATCAGATTTTATGAAATGAGCTAACAATTAGAGATAGGATGGAAGGTCCACTCACTCTAATGTGATTAACAGGTGAATCTCACCATAATGCTTTGTTTGGGAGTTACTAAGGGAAGGGACGGAAAGTTAAATAATGGAAACGAAATGTAAGGAATAGAAGTGAAAAGATAAAATATTGTTTGGGAGTTTAGTAAGGGGAACATAAGTTTATTTCTTTTACCTTTGTTTAAAGTTCTAATAAAGAGGAGGGAAGTGAAGTGAATATGTATAAAGTTACATAAATACTCTTACATATTGGATGAGAGTATATCCTAGCCATAGATGTTAATGTCATAAGGGTATAATTGTATTATCACATTGTAATATTTTACATCAGTTTTCATTCCATCCTCTACCCCTCAAATTGGAGGGGTGAAAAATGGAAGGAAATTTAACCTTCCATTCCATCCTCTAACCCTCAAAAGGACTCCCAAACAATGTGAAATTGAAATTTTACTTTAACTTCCATCCATTAACCTTCATCCAAACAAGGTGTTAGACTCTTGGTTGAAAACTCAGCTAGCAAACTAAGTTGTCACTTCATACTCATTATATCCTACACACACGCGCACACATATGTATGAAATAACATATACCATTTGATAGGGCCTTTTGCAAATTAGGTGGTATCTCATATCCACAATATCTTGGTCTATACTATTGAAAAGTTGGGCGAAATTGTGAAATTGTCAATTTTAAAACGTACGAACATGATTTTTTTTTTCTGTTAATTTTCTCTTAAAATTTTTACAAAATTTTACAACCAAATATTATAACTTCACGCAGATTAACATGCCAAACCTTCAATATGCAAATAACAATTCACTACATGCTCCAAAAACTAAAATACTCCCAAAACAAATTCCCAACTCAACTCCGAAAACACAAACATACATACAAATACGAAAGGAGTCACTATATATGTACTGTGATTCAACAGCAGTGAATCTCTACCATAATGCTTTGTTGGGAGTTCTTAAGGGGAAGGCGACTGGAAAAGTCTAAATAATGGAAACGAAATGTAAGGAATAGAAAGGTTGAAAGATAAAATATTGTTTGGAGTTAGCTAAGGGGAACATAAGTTTTATTTCTTTAGCCTTTGGTTTAAAGTTTCTAATAGAGGGGGAAGTGAAGATAATATAGTAATAGAAAGTTACATAAAATACCTCTACATATTGGATGAGAGTATATCCTAGCCATAGATGTTAATGTCATAAGGGTATTATATTGTATTTCTATCACTTGTAATACTTTTGACATCAGTTTCATATCCATCCTCTACCCCTCAAATTGGAGCGCCTGTGTAAAATGGAAGGAAATTTAACCTTCCATTCCATCCTCTAACCTCAAAAGACTCGCCAAACAATGTGAAATTGAAATTTTACTTTAACTTCCATCCAATTAACCTTCATCCAAACAAGGTGTTAGACTCCTTGGTTGAAAACTCAGCTAGCAAACTAATGTTGTCACTTCATATCTTTATATCCTACACACACCGCGCACACATATGTATGAAATAACATATACCATTTGATAGGGCCTTTTGCAAATTAGGTTGTATCTCATATCCACAATATCTTGGTCTATACTATTGAAAAGTTGGGCGAAATTGTAGAAATGTCAATTTTAAAACGTTACGAACATGATTTTTTTTTTTCTGTTAATTTTCTCTTAAAATTTTTACAAAATTTTACAACCAAATATTATAACTTCACGCAGATTAACATGCCAAACCTTCAATATGCAAATAACAAATTCACTACATGTGCTCCAAAAACTAAAATACTCCAAAACAAATTCCCCAAACTCAACTCCGAAAACACAAACCATACATACAAATACGAAAGGATGCTCACTATATATGTACTGAATCACACCCCTCCCCTCCCCCCCCCCCCACCCCACCCCCACCCCCACCCCTTCACACCTGCAAACTATTTGATCTCCACAAGCTTCCAAAGTAAAGGAATACATAGAAAGCGAGATCCAAACCCAAAAGCCAAAAGCAAAACAAACCCAAAAAAAAAAAAAAAAACCTCTGTTTTCTCCTTCCAAAGCCTGCAAACTATCGAACCTCCATAAGATTCCACCCATAAATTTGACAGAGAGAGTATATGAGCATGAGGATTGGACCATGAGGAGGTGCAGAGGTCCGCGGACCTATGGCGAAGGCCGCAACCTCCTCCGCCGCCACGTCGACACTTACGGCGGCTCCCCATGCTCGAGGCGACTCACAGCAATCTGATGATGATGATGGCCGATCACCAAAAACCCACATCAACCACAAAGAACAACAAGGCCCACAAGCCAAGAATCAGAGCCTCCAGGCACCAGCAGCAGCAGCAGCCATAGCTCCAGATGACAGCTGGCTACAGCTCGGCATCGCGACTCTCGTCGTCGCCCTTCACGGCCGCCTCGTAGAGCTGCAGTTGTTTTCCGACAGGCCTTCGTCGTTGGCATCGGCAACATCGAGGCCCATTGGGCCGGCCCAGATGGGATACGGGCCCATTGGGCCTCTCGCCTGTCGCAGCCGCCGCCGCCGCCTTGGGGGTACTTATGGCGGGAAGTAGTAGCAATAGCAATGGTCATGTTCCAGCCGCAGCCGCCAGTTTTACAATGCTGCAGGCGCGGTTTCCGCCGGTGGGGCCTGCTGCGCCGCTCGGGTCATGACCGGTGGCGGGACCGCGCGCCGCGAAGGCCAGCAGGGGGTTGGAGTGTGGTTCCTTCTCAAGGCAGCAGAGAACCAGTGAGTTATTATTATGAATCATGATGGTTTGCACTGAAAAATAAAGCGTTTCTTGAATTTTTATTTTTATTTTTTTCACTTTAGTTTTTTATTTTCATTTTTGTTTTTTTGTTTTTCGTTTTTTTTTTTGAATGCAGAGTGAGGGAACCCTTTTTGCCACAAATACCAAAGAGCTTCATTAGGATCAAGTACTGTCTCCACCTCTCTCTCACTCTATTCTCTTTTGCATGCTTCTATCTTCCCCTTTTGTTCCTTTTGGATCTTGAAACAATGAAGCATTGCTATAGCTTTTCAAAGAACATAAAAGTGTTTAACTTTTCCTTACACTTTTTCTTCTTTCTTTCTTTTTAAGAAAAAATTGTTTCCCCTCCTTCAACAGAGATGGTAGGATGACAGTTAGGCTATTGATGAAGTACTTGGTGAAAAAGCTTGGCTTGGATGATGAATCTGAGGTAAACTTAAGCTTATCCCTTTCTTGCAATAAATATATGCATAAAATGCTATTTTAGATGATTTAAGAAATGAAAAAATTGCCCAAAAATAGAATCAAATCAATTAGTTCGGCTATTTGTTCCATATTACTTTAGGATGTTGAAATGGGGGTGGCTAATTGGTAGCTAAAGGGGTCCTTTCCTGTGTGTTGCAAGTTTTTAGGTGGAATATATGTGTCCAAGTGCTACATCACAATGCACGATAGTTAGGGTTTCTCTTGTATGAGAGGTTGTAGTACTAGAGCTTCTTGTTTTGTTGGTTAGTAGATTAGTTATCAGTGGTGGTGATGTGTTTATTAATTAGGAGGTGAGACTGTTATTAGCAATTTGATTAGAGCCTCTAGAGTATTTAATGACTCATCATGTCAAGTTTATCTTTTCGTGGCCTTGATATATTATGCCTTAAATGGTAGACACATGCATGTCTAATATGGATTTTGGGAGAGCATTAGTATGCCTAGGTTTTAGGCTTGTATTTTGCTTATCAAATATGATTATTGGTGCCTAACATCTTGTGTTATTAACTTGCTATGGACATTGCTTTTGCTTGTTCTTGCTTATAAATGTTTTTGACAACCCTAAAGCTATAGAGTCACCTACTTTTGCTGAAAGCTATGCACTATCCTAAACAAGAAGTTATGTATATAGACTTGGAGTTCTAGGAAAAGATCCATTCCAACAATAATATATACATTACTCATTAATGCTCCTCTAGAGCTCCTCCTTTAATTTTACTTGGTTTGTGAACTTGGTCGAAGTCTTAAAAGAGTGAAAGAAGTGCAGAACCAGGCAGCTTTTTTGTCAAGGAATATAATCATTAGCACAAGAAAAGGTGTAATAGGTTATTGTTGGGGTTCAAAAAAAATGATTTATTTTAATATTTCATTGCTCATTATTCAAGAAGATGGTTATTTATTGAAGGAGTAAAGAAATACTTAGGTTTATCTTTATTATTATTACAGGTCTATCACAAACTTAGGCATCGTCTACTATATCTTCTGGGAGTAGTCAAAACATAACTATTATGATTTGCTTGCAGTTGAAATTTGGATACCAGTCCTAATGTTTCATGTGTTTTTCTTTTGTTTTTGAGAGGGCATGAATGCTCAAGGAACTGTTTTCATCTAATATTTAAAAAAATTATCTAAGGAATTTTTCAAATTTAAGGGAGCGTATGAAAAAAGGTGCCTAAAATACGGAGTGCTAGCTAGATGCATGGATCTTAAATAGCTAGGCTAAGCTGCAATATAGATCGAGATTGTAGTTCGCTAAAATACAAGAGTGCATCTTCCTCAAGTACATATGTAGAAGAAGTAGATTTAACTTACGCTTTGTCTCCACTTCTAAATTCTAAGAACACCTTTTCATATTTACCTTGTTTGTTTTAGGGGATTTCTTGTCATGATGGAAATATTTAATTAATCTCTTCTTAAAACTTAAACGCTTATTGGGTATTAACTTTCAACATGGGTGATGTACATAACTCTCAATTTTGGTTTGAATGAATAAAATTCTCATTGACCAAAAAAAAAAAACTTTCAATATGGGCAAGTCTTTGTGTGTGTGTGTTTGTGTGTGTACACACACACACGCACACCCCAAAAGAGAAACTTGGAAATGTGTTGACAAAGGGAAGATGAGTTGTTTATAACATGTAATGAATAACTTATCCTATATAATTTTAAATTGTTGAGAGGGAGGGAGGGAGGGTTTAGTCTAGTTGTACCAGTGGATTAATGTGAGCACGCATGATTTGTTTTCTCTCACTTATGTTTCTCCCCTTACTAATACATAGGCAGATTAGAGTTTTCTTCAATCTTTGTGATATTTGAAGTGGTAATAAAAACACGAATAAGTGGAACCAAAAGATCATTTAACTTCATATCTACTATTTGGTTTTGCCAAGTTTTCTCTAAAATCCTATTACTTCATTAATTCCTTGATAATATTCTTTGCGCTATGTTGGGAAGAATGCTAGATGCTTTCAAATGATTTTTTTCCTATAGTTTGAGCATAACAGGGTCTAAGTGCATCTAACATGACTTCAGTAATGTTATGTTAACTAGAAAGTATATGTAGATATTTGTAAATATATTGAGCAACGTCACACATTCTATTGTACTTAGAAATTATATTAGGTACTTGGAAATTGTTACGATTAGATATGAACAGGCTTAGATGTGAAAAATAATGTCTAATATGATACAATAATAAAAAAAATACAAGAAATAGACTTGGCAAATTCTAAGTTTAGCATGGCAGTACCATAGAACTAAACTTCGGTGACTACTAGGTTTAACATTTTATTGATGAAAAGTTAAGACCGTCATGAAAACATTATGCTTCTCTAATCATGAAGTTCCCAACTTGTTGACTAATTCTATATAAGTAAATGTTGCATAAGAAAAATTTCATTCAAAATATTATTTTAGTATTGCATAGAATATATTTAAGATAAATTCGAAGTGCTATATTGATTATAAATATGTATATGTCCCTAATAGATTTATGGTATTGTAGTAGATATAGTCCTATGCTTTTGTAACAAGAATGCTGCTTCTACACATTTAAAGAAGCAAAGTTTTTATGAGTTCTTGTAGACCCCATATCAGAACTCTTAAGTATATATAAACATGGTGCTTGATATATCATTTTCTTTGATGAATATCATTTTAGTCTCTAAGAATGATAATTTACATATTCAAAAGTGGAAGAATTCATAAATATGATCCGCATTAAGTCTTACTTATATGATGTATCGTTTTGCTATTGTTGTCTTAAATTTATTCCCTTCGTATCTATTTAAATTATGTGATTTTCTTCTATACCATGAGGTCTACGTACAAGAACATCTAGTCATATAAGATGAAGCTCATAACTTTCCATTTGTAGTTTAACATTCATATACCTAGAATGACATGAGATGACATGAAAGAATATCCTTCTCAGTGTTATTCAAAGATTTATGTATTTTGTAGCTAATTAAGCTTGATTGATAATTCATAGTCTAGACTTAACTGTACGTGAAATGGATGGCATGTTCTTTGATTTACATAACCAAGCTGCTTAAAGCCTTAGACAAGAAATAATAATTAGCTATTAATTTCTTGATCTCAATAAATGAGGCTATCAGATTAAGTACAAACATTATCTATTAATGATTGCTTGGAAACGCATCTCACATTTGAATGCTAATTTAGTCTTTAATGACGGTATAGACTCTGGATGGTGATAATATATGAAAAAAAGAACTCATTTAGCTTGTAAGCTTACACTATGCCTATTAAAATCTTAGGTGCACCTTCAACCCCAAATAGATTTAGGTGTCAATAGTCCACATATATTTGCTTTGCTTAGTCTCATTCCTTGCTGTCCTCCATACCTAAAACATATAGTACTGTCAATAAGTTCCTTACAAATAGTTTTCATGCAAATTAGTAAATGGCATCCTACAACCATCATTCTTTGCCTTACAATATTCATACCGGTAACATTCCATTCCATATTTATTGCATTATCTTTTTGAACTGTCAAGGTTTGCATTTATGTTTATATATATATATATATATATATATATATATATATTCATGTCAAGCACATTCTATGTCAACTCTGTGCCAACTATTCGTAGTGTCCATGTTTGAGCTGTACTAAATCTTTATTAAATGCAACATGATGTTGGTGAATGGTAGAGAATTATAACGTTGCTTCCATTTTTTCTCAAAGCACCCATGATACTTATTCTTTATTCTTAAAATTGTAGTTAAGGAGCATCTGTCTAAACATTTGGAACAAAAAAAAAAGCCCCTCAATGTGTAATGATTGATTCTTAAAAATAACTTCTGAGAAGATTGCGATGCTTTATCAAATTTGTCAACATGTTATACATCACCTATATATATTTTAAAGCCTATGATAAATCATGCATGTTTAGGGCATATTATCTATGAAAAGATTATCTTTTGTGGCTGATTGCTACATGTTTACACGCAACGCAACACCTGCACACATTACAACCTATATATGCGTCTTTAGAGAAACAAATCAATACACGTGGAAGGTCATATGCATGCGATTTTATTCGATCCTTCGTCATGCTCTCATCAAGCTTACTTCACAAATGTCTACATGTATAGGCCCCTATCACACCGTAGGATATTGTTGTGGTTAGAGGACCCATCAAGGGTGTTAAGTGGTGCACTTTGTCGGAATATCTAAGGCCCCATCATCCCATCTCATATCATCACCCGCAACAAGAATTGGAATTGATATATGGAGGTGCCTGTAGACCTTTGAAGGAAAGGGAGAGTGCATGGATATGTGAAATATCTACAAGAGAATCATTCCAAGTTGGTGACGAGGATAACATCACCAACATTGCACAAAAACAAAAGAATTAGGTCCCCCTCCCTTTTGTTGGCAACACATCCTAGGTAGCGCCTATACATGCATAAATTAGCTACGTACGGTCAATTGCAGCTACACCCTCGACCTGTATTATAAGGGTACGTGCACTTATATATCTATGTAGCCACTAAACTATTTATTGCATTTACGCCTCATGAACTTCCTGTTGATATTGTTTTTCAAGTTAGGTTAAGATGGATGTCATGCGAAAAATCATGTGATCGAAGATTATCTTTTATCCTCACTTTTTAACTAGAGAAGAGAAGAGGCTAAATTTTCTTCTAACCGACGACAAAAAGGGTACCGTAATCAAGATTCAAAGGGTAAAAGTGCTAATAAAAAAGCCTAGGAGTACAATGGTTATAATACTCATACATGGGGTGTATCCACGGTGAGTCCTAAACTAAACTTTTATGTATGTACGCAACATTAATTGGTTTAAAACGAAGTAAGGGTTTTTAGCCTTGAAACAAGGAATTGAGGAGTATGAGGTGTTCTCATCGTCATCTTGTTTAATTGATTGTAATTTGAAAGTAGAGGGGGTTATGAGGAGAATAATGGTGGGGTTAGGAGAATATTTGACTTGTTTTGCCTTCTAAGATAAGGGTAGAAAGACACAGATTGTTGCGTAGAGAAAGCAACGTGAGGGAGATGTGCATGCGATTTTTGTTGTGTTTTTTGTTAGGTAAAGAGTAAAGGGTTCTTAGAAATTTTTTTTTTTTTTTTTTTTTTTTTGTATACCAGGAAATAAATGAAGAAAAAAAATAGTTAAAATTATATTAGAGGGCTGATTCCTCGGCGTGCTTCTTGGATCCGCCACCTTTTTATTCTCTCTCTCTCTCTCTCTCTCTCTCTCCTCTTCCCCCACACGCGTAGTGATTTGTTTAAGGTCGTTAATAGTAGCGTACGTGTCAACATTACACCCAACTTGATTGGCCATCCATTAAGTTGACCCGACAACAAACTTTTAGGTGCCATGATGTATAGATTTTTATCTATATACCTACAATTAACTACTTGAATACCAGATTGGTGGATGTTAATTTCTTTACTGTAGATATTAACTTACTGGAGTTCTCTAGCTACTAAAACAGTATAAACGCGCGCGTAAGATGTTTGTCTCAAACACGAGGGAAGTTTAATTTGTTTCTCTGGGTATACGTACACGTACGTACGTGCATATATTCATTCATCTAGTGTTGTAGGCTGCAGTTTTTTAACTTTTCGCTTTGCTGTAGGGCCTAGGCTATAGTTTTGCTTCTCCCTTCGCTGTAGGTAGCCTCGAAAAGACTTATGGATGCCACTTTTCACATCTGTAGACCATAGCGTCTATATGAAGGCATTTATATAGGATGCGTTGGGAAAGAAAAAAAAAATAAATTTTTCTGATCTTGTCCAACGCAGCCTAGCTAGAAAATACAATTTTCACACGGCCCACTTTCGCCAACTCATTATGCAATAGGGATGAGACACATCACCTGTCCCCTCCCTTTGTCCCATATTTTGGGCCCTTAAATCATTTTCCGTGATAGTATATATTCTCGCCTTTGAAGCGAGGGGGGCGTATTAAATCTGTTCATATTGTTTATTGTTACAAAATTGTTGTTTTTACATTAATCCATGGGTTAATTACTTATTAAAAGTCACTTTTGAGTGCACTAATTTAAATGAAAATTTGTAAAAAATATTTTCGGGAGCAATAAAAGAGTATGTTTTGCTGAGTATAAAATTTATTAAATATCTTTTTAGGGCGGGGGTTGCTAAAACTTATTTTTGAAGGCTACAAATAGGATTGGGCACCAAGGAAAGAAGACTGTTGTTGGTTTTCCCTAAGAATGCAATGATTAAAAAAGCTCGGGCAGCGTATGGTGCTGTGACGGGCAGGCTGCCCGTCCATGTCAATGGGAATCTCGTCTTAAATTTTTGAATATAATAAATCAACTTTAGCCCGTGACGTAGCACTGATGATACCATTAACACAAGACTTAATGTGTGCGCTCGTTCGTTAGTTCATTATTAAGATATGACTAACAAAAATAATTTAAAAGAATAGGGAAGGGAAAACGTAATGCGACCATTAGTTGTGATACTTGAATCATTTCCATACATCAACTTAGCCCCGAGTGCCTAAGGCGCTAATAAGTGGGGTCCTTAATATGGGCATAAAAATGTAGTTTGATGCCTTATCTCAGTCATTCATACGGGCATTTGATGGTGCAATCAGTTGGTTGATGGGGGCAATTGACCTATATAAACATAATTATGGTTGCCAACTTTTCAAAGGGCTAATTAATTAAGATTTGGTAAAAAAAATTTTCCCTTTTTCACTATATATTTACAAGAGCTTTTGTACTAATTTCCCCCCCACTTTTATGCTAAGAAAAGCTTACTGAGCGAATAATGCTTTTATTACTGTATTTTTTTTTTAATTTTCAGGTGCAAATTACTTGTAGAGGGCAGCCATTGCTCCCCTTCTTTACTCTACAACACGTTCGAGACCATATATGGTGTTTGAGCGGGGCGGTCGCGTTTCTACCGGACTCCCCAAGCACCGATCATGTCATGACCCTTCAATATGGTAGAAGCCGATAGATCTTTCCGCTGTCTAATTCTCTCGCGGCTTCTCTGTATAATTACTGGCTTCACTGTGCTCACCTCTAATGTTTTTTGTTTCGAAAGTTTTGTTGAAGCTTCTCGTCCGATTCTTTTGAGAAAAATAGCTTGGAAGGGCAAGAAGTTTAGGAAAAAAAGAACATTGCAAAGGAATTGTACCTCCAAGCTAACTTTGTTTGAATTAATTTTTTTTTTTTTAAATTCCTTAGTTGCTCTCTAATTCACTAATTTGTGATTCCAACCTACGACTCTTTCTCCTCAGATGTACTGCTCTGTTTTTAAACTTTGAAACTGATCCATTCGAACTGAGAGGTTAAGATGTCAAGATCCGAACCGTACATGATGTGTATTCATCACCAAAAGTCTGGATGCAACTGATTACTATAAGCTTAAGACCGCATTAAAAACCCATAACGACCCTACAAAATAAACGGATTCCTCTCAAATCAGACACTTATTAGTGTGATTGAGACTCTATAAAGATGGATTTCCAATGCGCAATATTCATAATGGAATATGCATGAACAGTCGCAAACATGCCATGAAATCTCCTCCAGTAATTTACATCAGCACCAAAAATAGCGAACAAACAGAGGCTTTCTGTGATACCAAGAAACTGTAGTCACGAATTAGATAGAACTACTGCTAGGGAAAAAACATGGAAAGATGTTGAGAAATTTAACCACAGAGAGCATACTATAAGCCAGCTCTAGCATCGGAAAGAGCAGAAACAAAACTCAACCTACCGAATCATAAACTGAACCATGCCTCGGATACTCAAACGGCGGCGGATGATTCCTTGACATATAAGAGATCGATTATGAAAAGAGAATAAGTTTGAGTAGCATCCAGATTTTACGTTGAAATATGCACTCAAGCCACAAAAGATAACGAATAATGACTCAAAGTACATACAGCAGAAAAACACGGCATCAGGTTGTGAGAGACGTGTACAACAAACAGCTGAATCAAGTAACAAAAGTTTACACACTACTAAAAATAAGCAAGACGATGCATCAGATACCGAATGGGACATGATTCCTGTACATATAAAAACAAGAGACTATGACAAAATTTAAGTAGCATACAGATTTTCAAAGATGCAACTCACTCTGCCAGGAAAGAAATTGAATAGTGACTCTTGAACTACATATAGTAAAAAGGGTTAACCGCACAGACCACACATGGTTTCATTGTTTTAAACTTCCTACCCCTGTAATTTCATACGGATTGACCCCCCGGGTTATAGTTATCCGACTCCCTTACCTTCGGTGAGATTTTTTTCCGCAGGTACTGGCCCGGAGTAAAATTAGTGATTCTTTCTGAGGGTGAAGCGTCCAAAACCATTTAAGCCAGGAGTCTATCTGCTCTGCACCAGTGAGACTACATGGGCAGTAAGTTCAAAATAGTGATATCAAAGGTGGATTTGTGCATTAACCATAGTAAGAAAGGCAGCAGGGTAGGGCTGAGAGAAAATGCTCAATGAACCTAGCCTGTTGCATTATGATGTACTAAAGCGATTTGCGCACTAATCCAATGACTGACGTCTCTCAGGTGCACCATCCATGCAATGGACCGAAGCCACTAGTTAATATCACGCCAAGACCAGCCATAGTAACAGTAACAAAAAATCAAAAGTTATCCACTACCAGAAATACACAAACCCATGCATCAGATGGTCAAATCGGACATGATTCCTGGACATACAAGACCAACTCTTCATGATCAGAGCATAAACTGGACAATTGAGACAATAGCACTTAGATGGCAGACGCACTACTGATGCAAAGTGTAGAAGAGAATGAGACCCACTGCTGAAACCAACAAATTAACATGTGCAGGGGAATCCACATAGTTTCCAAACAGAAAAAGGGAGAGATATGGTCAGTGATAATGACCTACACAATATCTGTAAGAAGATCATCAAAAGATTTTCCATTGACTCTGATGACTGCATGCAATTTATCTTATGATCGTGAATGTTTAGTGGGTATCACAGAGAACAGGACTACAACAATGACAATACAACATACAGAGACTATAGATATTCAAGAAGCACTATCCGTGAATAAGCCCATAAGACAGGGTTGGTGTTACAAATTCAGCAGATTAAGTCCCAGCTATGAAAGAAAAAAGAAAAAGTAAGAGACATGCATGTCAACCTGGAGATGACTCTCCATGTAGGTAAAGGTCAGAAGGGTTCTACATCAAAAGCTTTAGCATGCAAACATCCTGCAACATTGTTACTTAAAACCACGTCACTTTCCAGAATTATTACCCCATCCTTGAAGGTGAGTTTCCAACCAAAACAAAAAAGGAAAAGGAACATAATGCAGCTACTGTTTCTTTCTTCATGTAAATCTTTATTTTTCATACAGTACTTATTAGTTGGCTAAATTACAAAAAATCACCCCTGGGGTTTGGAAAAGTGACAAAAAAAATCCACCTATGACTTCAAATCCTACACTTTCAACCCTTTATTTAGAGTTATCTTATCAACTTTTTATATTGCCAAAAATACCCATGAAATATTCTTATAACAAACGAAACCAGCATGGTTATTGTTCTCTCTCCAAAGGCTCATCTCTCCATGTACCCTTCTCCTCTCTTCCCCCATTAACAACATGATCATTCCCAATTCAAGGCACTCCCTCCTTGCAACTACACCTCAAGAACTACTCAAATTCTAAAAATACTACGCCTTGTCTGGTACATAGAAATTGAGTGAAGTGATAAAGAAATGAAACAAGGAATGAAATAGAATAAATGTGGAAATGGAATGTTTACTTCTTACGTTTTGCTACAATTAGAGAAGAAGTGAGAATAGGATTAGTTGATAGTTCTTTCTCTCACTCCAGTATGAATGCCAATTTCTTGACAACTCATTCGGAATACATATTCCCAAATAGTGTGAGAATCGATAAGAAGTGAGAAAGGGATTTCTAACTTCCAAAAACACATCGTGTTTCATACGAATGAATGAGAAGTGGGAATTGACATTCCATTCTAAATCATTCACGCATATCAAACAAGGCGTTAAAAAAAACTAATAGTTAACAACCACATCATCTCATAAGTCCAACCACTTTTTATTCAGTTATTTATTATTCCATACTTCATGCACGGCCAATAACTACATGGATTACACTCTTTTATGCATAGATATTTAAAGAAGTAAGATTTCCTTGGCACACGCCGCACATTCACCGGCTAACACCAATTGTTTTGCACTGACCGGCATTCAATGCGGAACCATTGCTGTAGAATCATCACCAAAACACTCGATTAGATTTCCTCCTTCATAGACCAATCGATCACCCAGCAATGTGGAAACTTCGAGAAGCTTGTCCGAACTAAAACGAATAGTAATCTACTGCAGAAAAAAAAACACGAGAATGACGACACATAAGGTTTAGGTGCAATTGCCTATGTCCATGGGAAGAGATTGGAGATTTGTTATATTACAAATTACAAGATACAACATTTCTTTTGTTTTTTATAGAACCCACAAGAAATCTTTTCTAAATCTCACCAAAAGATCTCTCAAACCTCTAGATTTCTCTCCTCAATTTCTTTATACCTCTCTTTTCCAATATGTACCTCTTATTGGCTTTTCCACATCAAATCCTAGCCCTAGAAGAGTCTATTTATAGAGCCCAAAATCAAATACATAACCCAACAATGACTCTTAACATGAATAGAATTTCAAACAGAAGAAAAATTGTCGGTAACTAGGCTAACTAACATGTCCAACCGGTTGGTTAATTAGATAGGTCCAACTGGCCAATCTGATCAACCAGCTTGTCACAAATAAAATCAACCCGTGTTTGACCAAGTAGTTTTATAAGGATGTCTGCCAACTGATCTACTGTCGATACATGTTTTGCCATGATGATTTTATCCTCGAGCTTCTTGCGGACTACATGACAGTCGACTTCAATGTGCTTGGTTCTCTCATAAAACACCAGGATTCTCAGCAATGTGAATTGCTGCTTTATTGTTGTCATATAGATCCATGGGACATTCTATAGGGAGACCAATTTCTATCAATAGGTCTCTGATCCAAACAATCTCTAGTGCCACATTTACCATAACTCTGTATTCTGATTCTGCACTAGATTGAGATACAACACTTTGCTTTTTTACTTTTCCATGACACCAGATTTTCTCCGAGAAAAACACAATATCCAGTAGTCAATATCCTATCAAAAGGACATCCAGCCCAATCTGTGCATCAGAAAAAGCCTGTAATTCTAGTGTGTCCTTGATCTGAGTAGAGAATTCCTTGACCTAGAGCCTTCTTTAAGTACCTCAAAATTCTCATTACTGTATCCAAGTGAGTAGTCCTAAGTGCGGACAAGAACTGACTCACAACACTGACTGCGAATATGATGTCAGGTCTGGTCATTGTCAGATAATTCAGGTTCTCCACCAATCTTCTATATTGTCCAATATCTTCAAGAAGCTCCCCATGATCTGGTAGTAGTTTTGAGTTCATATCTATTGGAGAATCACTGCTTCTGCATCCTAACATCTCAGCCTCTGAGAGCATATCCAGAATGTACTTTCTTTGTGACAGAAGAATCCCCTTCGTTGACTTTGCGACTTCAATGCCTAGAAAGTATTTTAGAGAACTAAGATCTTTGGTTTGGAAATGTGTTTGTAAATGCTTCTTCAGTCTGTCAATACTAGAAGCATCATCCCCTGTAATTACAATATCATCCACATAGACGAGCAGAATTCGTTTTCCATTTTGAAATCGCCAGAAGACAGAGTGATCTTTCTGTACACGACAAAGCTCAAACTCCTGAATAACCGATGCAAAACGTTCAAACCAGGCTCTTGGAGACTGCTTCAGACAATAAAGTGATTTCTCCAGCCTACACACATTTGTATTCTCCCCTCTGAGCAACAAATCCTGGTGGTTGTTCCATGTAAACCTCCTCATCTAAAATACTATTAAGAAATGCATTCTTGATGTCCAACTGATGAAGCGGCTAGTGATTTACTGCTGCTAATGAAATAAAAATCCGAACAGATGTTATTTTTACTACTAAACGTAATCCAAGTCATACACCTGTGAATAGCCTTAAGTAACCAGTCGGGCTTTTAGTCGTGTCAAAGTTTCATCAACATCAACTTAACAGTGTACACCCACTTGCAGCTGACGGACCGCTTTCCTGGTGGAAGTGGAAC